ATGATGAAGTCTTTGAACTTGTCCGAGCTCTCCATTTTATCGTGAATGAACCAGAGGATTGCGTAGCAGACGATAGTGAAGATGATGAGGAGGAACGTCACCGTGACGACAGCAATGGCGATACTGAGGAGGTGGTAGTCACAGTAGTGTATGGCGTGCTCGTCCTCAGTCTGCGCGATCTTCAGAAGATTGTACAATAGGACAGCGCCTTCCAAAAAAAATGATAGAAAAAATATATCTATAAGCCGAATCCAATACAACACAAAGTACAAGTTTTTCTATACAAAGTCTAGATAAGAGTATATAACTGTATAATGCGACATCTTTGGAAATTTATGAAATAAAACAAAGATGAAAGCATTCCACATTTCATAAATTTTTACAGCTTTAGATTACATTTTCTGGATTTTTAAATATTTTGATGAGGAATCTTGTTGTACTATTTGTTTATGGGGAATTTACTACACGACCAGGCAACAAGTTTTTACACACGTCCTACGTAAACATTCACAGGTACAATACAATAACAGTATTTACCTGTAAACCCCCAAAACACGAGGAATAACGTCAACATGTCGGTGACAGTGTATAGGCAGTGTCTCTCCCCCTCGGGGGGTGCGATATTGCACATAATACGGGCACCTTGTAGAAAACATTTTAACATCAATGCAGCACCATTCAGAGTGAGAAACAATGGAAGAAGAGGTTCACAGGGGCAATTATTGAACTCCATTATACCTAAAACAAATAAAAATTACAATCACACATCTCTGGTGGACGTAAAACAACAATTAAACAAAATATAAAGTGAGAAGGTAGCAAGGTCTCTTAACAGTTTTGAGGTATGTTGTCTGAAAGTTAATGAGCCTTCATTTTATCAGCATTATGCGTGATTCGAACTGAAAGCTTGGAAATTAATTAAATTGAACATATAGTCTAAATGACATGTGCAAGGTGTACAAGTCTTCGCCCTTTCCCTTACCCAAGTAAATTTGTGGATCTGCTTTTTCGACAAAACGGCAATCCTTAAATGCTTGATGTTTTTTCTTGTTTATTTAAACATTTGCCGTTACTGATACTTTGCCCCGTTACAATGACTACTGTGTAAAGATGTTGTTCCGTAACAATTTTATACTAACCATTGTGTCCGGATATACCACTCATAAAGCATGGACACTAAACAAAGAAAGGACTCTCGGACATATTTCATGTAGCATACGTCCAGTAGTCATTTCGAAATCAATATAATATAATTTCCTTCATTTACATTACTGATCCGTGGTCAGTGTGCTGTGCACTATACAATGTCAATTGATTCTCCGGTTCTATTGAGAATACTCACCGAACGTTAGGCACAGAACGGAAATAGCGAGGCCTATCGTCAACATGGACAACCCGAGCACTGAAAGATGACAAAATATCATACTGTGACGACAAATAAATGACCACAAAACTGATAGAAATTCATGACCAACAAAACAGATAGAAATTCAACAGTATGTTTTTTTTTACCTTGACACTGGTATTGTACTCACCCGACTTGTTAAAGGAGTTGTTCACGTGACATATAAAGTTGTAGGCGTCCTCCTCCTCCATGTAAGCGTTCTGTAGCACCCGACAGTGACATCCCTTCCCGCCATCTTTGTGGACTGAAACAAAAATCGGTGAACGTTTAGATTTAGAAATTGAATGGTGGCTAATGAAGTCGTCTGCTCTTTTGATACGACCCCCGACTTTACCCGGACAATGCCTGGAACTCATTTTATCACTGGTTAACAAGGGCAAAATCTGGTGCTTACAGAGATTCTATTAATACCTTCCATCATGAAACGAACCAGAGAAATTAATTTATATAAACGTTACTTAAAAAACCTCAGAGCGAAATAAACATTTTATTCCATGCATATTTTTAACATGTTTTTAAATATATTAATAAAATACCTTGTCGCTCTGCAGACGGTTCGTTGCAGACGACATCGTGCAGCAGAAGATCGTTAGGACTGGCCATTACACTCCTCGTCTGAGCATGGCAGAGATTTCTCTTAGAGCAAACGACACAAACACGAAGTCACACGATAGCCACTTTGTAAGGTGTTACTTCATGAACTTTACCTAGAGGCACCAACAGATGCAGAAAATCATTTCCTGGTTTGTATATCCTCCGATGTAAACAGATAGATACCTAATACACACACACGACAGCTCGCGCGCTGGCGCTTCACCATCCCCGCGTGTAGAGCTGGGCGCCGGAGGGGTGTGTGTCGTAATGTCGTTACTTCCGCCGTAAACCAAGCAGTTGTCGCTTATTCTGCAGTCTCCTGTTCTGGACTCAAATAAACTCTAATCTCTCACGTGTAATGTTCACTGTCACGTGCCAGCTTATGGTGTTTAAACACTAATTCCTTCTCATTACAAACGTTATTCACAGGAACCCTAGATTAACCATTCTAAAGGTAAATAAATAGCAGTTTTCCTTGGCATACTCTAAAACCTGGCCTGGCCCCTTTGGCCTGGCCTGGCCTCTAAGTTGGCCTGGCCTCTATCTTGGCCTCTAATTTGGCTTCAAACCAAATTTTGGCCTGGCCTCAAAAGTTGGCCTGGCCTCAGATTTGGCCTCTGTAAAAATTTTTGGCCTCAATTTTGGCCTCACTCAAAAATTAATTTCTTTTCAGAATTTGATTGATTTCATTGATTTTTTATCGGTTTCATTTTTTCAAAGATTAAGCAGGTAAATAATATATTTCTGTTGATATGTAAATGCTAACATTAAAAATAATCATGTACTACCACCAACATGATTTATTTTATTGATTATCAATCGATCAGTTGCAATTCTGAAGACTTTTCATAGTATGATTGATGATTTTACAAAGTAAAACATTTTGAAACATCAATTTAAATTATCAAGACAACAAAGAAATGCAGACGGGTAGTAATATTACCTAAGACTAAAAAGAATTTTAATTTGCTATATAAAGTATCACTTGTTACATGTCTTATAAACTCTTTATTCAGAATAAAAAAAAATCTTTTAGATAACGTGGACTACTTTTACAAACTGATAGAAAAAGTGTCAATACTATGATATGCAAGTAATTGGCCATATTTTATGATAGGGTTCTAATAGTCTGGTTGATAGGATGCAAATGTTTTACAGCACAAACGTTAATAAACTATCATCAAACTCAACTGTTGTTTTGATAATTGTAGATAGTGAAAGTTTTAGCAGGAAATTCTTTACAAATCATGAATGGCTTAACAGCCTATGCACTTATACATTTCATTGCTGATTAACTTCAACCTTATCTCCTGTCAAGAACCATGCTGCAGAATTTTTTGTCATTAAATATCCAATTACAGTGTTACCGCACAGGAACAGAAAGTTATAAATTATCTGATAATGTTATTTATATTAGTTTTTTAAATACCAACTGTTCTGAGATTAAAGTACATATGAATTTTTAACAGAGTAATCAAATCAGTATAATATAAATATTTTGGTATCTGCATTGGTATATGGTAGTATATTTATTTAAAAATTCTTTGGTGCCTGTATTCATATATCACATTTAAGATGATGCAGGCATAATAGTAACACAACACTCTACAGTGTGTAAAAGGTGATGATTCATCACTTAACAAGTGGGAATTTTTCAAAGCTATTAATGACATTTGATATTATTTAGAGATTTTTTCAATGTGCACGATTTGGAAAACACAAAATAAACTCTGATATTTTTTTTCTAAATAATTAAGCAAGAGTGTCGGTAGTGTCAGTATGAAATACCTGTCATCAAATCATAAAATGAAATAATTGTACACTGATCGATTGATAATCAATAAAATAAATCATGTTGGTGGTAGTACATGATTATTTTTAATGTTAGCATTTACATATCAACAGAAATATATTATTTACCTGCTTAATCTTTGAAAAAATGAAACCGATAAAAAATCAATGAAATCAATCAAATTCTGAAAAGAAATTAATTTTTGAGTGAGGCCAAAATTGAGGCCAAAAATTTTTACAGAGGCCAAATCTGAGGCCAGGCCAACTTTTGAGGCCAGGCCAAAATTTGGTTTGAAGCCAAATTAGAGGCCAAGATAGAGGCCAGGCCAACTTAGAGGCCAGGCCAGGCCAAAGGGGCCAGGCCAGGTTTTAGAGTATGCCAAGGAAAACTGCTATTTATTTACCTTTAGAATGGTTAATCTAGGGTTCCTGTGAATAACGTTTGTAATGAGAAGGAATTAGTGTTTAAACACCATAAGCTGGCACGTGACAGTGAACATTACACGTGAGAGATTAGAGTTTATTTGAGTCCAGAACAGGAGACTGCAGAATAAGCGACAACTGCTTGGTTTACGGCGGAAGTAACGACATTACGACACACACCCCTCCGGCGCCCAGCTCTACACGCGGGGATGGTGAAGCGCCAGCGCGCGAGCTGTCGTGTGTGTGTATTAGGTATCTATCTGTTTACATCGGAGGATATACAAACCAGGAAATGATTTTCTGCATCTGTTGGTGCCTCTAGGTAAAGTTCATGAAGTAACACCTTACAAAGTGGCTATCGTGTGACTTCGTGTTTGTGTCGTTTGCTCTAAGAGAAATCTCTGCCATGCTCAGACGAGGAGTGTAATGGCCAGTCCTAACGATCTTCTGCTGCACGATGTCGTCTGCAACGAACCGTCTGCAGAGCAACAAGGTATTTTATTAATATATTTAAAAACATGTTAAAAATATGCATGGAATAAAATGTTTATTTCGCTCTGAGGTTTTTTAAGTAACGTTTATATAAATTAATTTCTCTGGTTCGTTTCATGATGGAAGGTATTAATAGAATCTCTGTAAGCACCAGATTTTGCCCTTGTTAACCAGTGATAAAATGAGTTCCAGGCATTGTCCGGGTAAAGTCGGGGGTAATCAAAAGAGCAGACGACTTCATTAGCCACCATTCAATTTTCTAAATCTAAACGTTCACCGATTTTTGTTTGTCCACAAAGATGGCGGGAAGGGATGTCACTGTCGGGTGCTACAGAACGCTTACATGGAGGAGGAGGACGCCTACAACTTTATATGTCACGTGAACAACTCCTTTAACAAGTCGGGTGAGTACAATGCCAGTGTCAAGGTAAAAAAAAACATACTGTTGAATTTCTATCTGTTTTGTTGGTCATGAATTTCTATCAGTTTTGTGGTCATTTATTTGTCGTCACAGTATGATATTTTGTCATCTTTCAGTGCTCGGGTTGTCCATGTTGACGATAGGCCTCGCTATTTCCGTTCTGTGCCTAACATTCGGTGAGTATTCTCAATAGAACCGGAAAATCAATTGACATTGTATAGTGCACAGCACACTGACCACGGATCAGTAATGTAAATGAAGGAAATTATATTATATTGATTTCGAAATGACTACTGGACGTATGCTACATGAAATATGTCCGAAATCCTTTCTTTGTTTAGTGTCCATGCTTTATGAGTGGTATATCCGGACACAATGGTTAGTATAAAATTGTTACGGAACAACATCTTTACACAGTAGTCATTGTAACGGGGCAAAGTATCAGTAACGGCAAATGTTTAAATAAACAAGAAAAAACATCAAGCATTTAAGGATTGCCGTTTTGTCGAAAAAGCAGATCCACAAATTTACTTGGGTAAGGGAAAGGGCGAAGACTTGTACACCTTGCACATGTCATTTTAGACTATATGTTCAATTTAATTAATTTCCAAGCTTTCAGTTCGAATCACGCATAATGCTGATAAAATGAAGGCTCATTAACTTTCAGACAACATACCTCAAAACTGTTAAGAGACCTTGCTACCTTCTCACTTTATATTTTGTTTAATTGTTGTTTTACGTCCACCAGAGATGTGTGATTGTAATTTTTATTTGTTTTAGGTATAATGGAGTTCAATAATTGCCCCTGTGAACCTCTTCTTCCATTGTTTCTCACTCTGAATGGTGCTGCATTGATGTTAAAATGTTTTCTACAAGGTGCCCGTATTATGTGCAATATCGCACCCCCCGAGGGGGAGAGACACTGCCTATACACTGTCACCGACATGTTGACGTTATTCCTCGTGTTTTGGGGGTTTACAGGTAAATACTGTTATTGTATTGTACCTGTGAATGTTTACGTAGGACGTGTGTAAAAACTTGTTGCCTGGTCGTGTAGTAAATTCCCCATAAACAAATAGTACAACAAGATTCCTCATCAAAATATTTAAAAATCCAGAAAATGTAATCTAAAGCTGTAAAAATTTATGAAATGTGGAATGCTTTCATCTTTGTTTTATTTCATAAATTTCCAAAGATGTCGCATTATACAGTTATATACTCTTATCTAGACTTTGTATAGAAAAACTTGTACTTTGTGTTGTATTGGATTCGGCTTATAGATATATTTTTTCTATCATTTTTTTTGGAAGGCGCTGTCCTATTGTACAATCTTCTGAAGATCGCGCAGACTGAGGACGAGCACGCCATACACTACTGTGACTACCACCTCCTCAGTATCGCCATTGCTGTCGTCACGGTGACGTTCCTCCTCATCATCTTCACTATCGTCTGCTACGCAATCCTCTGGTTCATTCACGATAAAATGGAGAGCTCGGACAAGTTCAAAGACTTCATCATAGAAAGAGAACTGGACAGGCGGAAACCCTCGTTATGTGTTGTGACCGGGTGATGAAGGACGCCTATGGAACGCCTTACTCAGATAATATTTCGCGGAGGTTCATCTTGCCTTTTGTTATTGCAATGTGCTGTTTGTTATATTTTTGATAAAAAATAGGAGAAAACAAACACAGCGTGAGTTTTATGGTTTCTTTCACACGTTGAGCAGGCAATATTATATTGAGGCGACAGGGTGGAAGCTGTCTTAAAATCAATTTCATGGAGAACGCATCAAGCCGAGATTTGCGTACGCAGTTTTTTCGCTTCTAATATCCGTTTACAACGATGATAATAAGTAATAAAATTCTCAGCAACTTTCAAGTGGTCTTGTATACACACCCTTTCATATATCTAATTTACAACCTAAAAATTGGAGAATTCCTTACAATGATATTAGTTTCTCTCTGTTGAGCAATAATACAGACTGACGCGTTAGGAACTGTTATGATCACAAATCATTTCGACCCAGCTCATTATGGTACAGATGAAGCCAGGGATTGTTTTGTCTTATATTACAGTTCTACAGATACAATTAACACAGGGGACTAAAACAGCAAATTTCTTCTCGACCCAGTACTAGTAACTTTAACAAGTAGAACCCATGCGTCGAATTTTTAAAAATAACCTTTAAACTCGTCATTCAAAAATATACACTGAAAATGAAAAAAAAAAATAATCAAACCAATGTTAATCTAGACAGATCAACGAGATTCATAAAAATATGCATGTGGAAAGCTAAGTTTCTATCGTACTCATGATATTTTTATCGTTCTGAATTTCAAAGCTACTAATGTTTCGGTCTTCCGTTACGTCAAATCCGCCAGTGTGGAATTCATGTAAGAGGAAAGCAGCGCCCGCGCGCACCTTCATTTTAAAATTTGCCTTTATCAAACAATTTTTTGTTCTTAAAGAAAACATTCAAATATACCGAGAATCACTTTTACATGTAACTTAAAAAGGCGATATGCATCTTGAATTTCTCTCCCTTTCTCTATTATTGCTCTGTGAACTGAGATATTTCAGATTACATTGTTGACTTGTAACGCGCGCCACCTACGTAGAAATCCTGGAACTGTCCTCACACAAGGAAATAAATCTTCGGATTCGTTTTAGTTTGCTAACCATTATCATCATGCCATCACAATTAGCTCTCTCGTCTTACTTCTTTGTACTTTTCTGGTAAAGTGTGAACACGAGTCTGACTTCATTTGTAACACGGTAAAGAATTAACGAGGGATCACAGATATTCGCATTGTTACGAGTTTAATTTCATCTTTCCTTATTCGCAGTTCCACAAGATGAAGCCGGTAGATACTGGGAACAATTTCGACCACAGAAATTAATTGGATTGAGATAAAATGAACGATCTCTGGCGTGAGTGAATGCTAACTCCTGGCATTACAGAGCAGCCAGCGAGGGAACCTTTCACAATCTACTGGAATTGTCAAAATATAACATTAGAGTCCATTAAAAGAATTGAGGATCTGAATGTACCAAACATCTAGATAATTCAAACCTTATCTGTCCAGAGAGAGAGAGAGAGAAAGAGAGAGATAAAACATTAATTGCATCGAGTCGCCCGCGTGGCGCAGGGGCGTCTTCTTTAGAGTCGCGAAGTAGATCCTTACAGTTCGCAGGTTCGAATCCAACTTTGAGACATGGAGACCGGTCCTTCGGATGAGACCATATAAACCGAGGTCCCGTGTCGCAGTAGGTGTTGACACGAAAAAGATACCTCACTACTCAATGGCCGTAAGTACCAAGCATTGGAGAAAATTTGCAGCTATTCACCAGCAATTGGTGGTGTCTCTATATGAGTGAAAAATACTCGAAGAGGGACATTAAACGACATAGAAACAAACAATTTAATGCATTAACTGATGCAAGTTTTCATAGTTACAACACAGAGGCCGTTTTATTCGTTCTTACCTTTTGTATATATACTAGTATGTTTTTGAAGAAAAAAGGAGATCTTCAAGCATGTGTTATACTGAATAATTCATTGTCACAAATAAGATGAAGAACCTTTAATAAAATAGACAATTCGTTTATCAAGAGGAATAACTCGAAAAGTCGAAATGAACATGGATCTGTTTTAACTGGATACCAGGAATCATCCCTGAAGATTACAACATATCATTCACAGACGCTGTCTTATGAAAGGGACATATATATGCTGGCAATACAGTGAAACCTGTCTAATACGACTTGCACTGAGAAACAATTTTTGTGTCGAAATAGACAGGATGTCGGATTGCACAGTGTTAAAAACATGGAAAATGGTAGAATGGGAAAGAAATAGATGGTCAGAATTCAAAGTATGAAGGATTGCACAGGTGTTGGATTAGACAGTTTTCACTAATATCAGGTACCACTTGGGTAACATAAATTCTTATGATTGGTCAGTTATTTAAATTTTTCCAGTTCGTGTCGGGTTAATCAATGATGGACATGAGGAATACAGAACTCTGCTATACTCATTGCAAAGATATCGCACAGTGTACAATTATTTCATTTTATGATTTGATGACAGGTATTTCATACTGACACTACCGACACTCTTGCTTAATTATTTAGAAAAAAAATATCAGAGTTTATTTTGTGTTTTCCAAATCGTGCACATTGAAAAAATCTCTAAATAATATCAAATGTCATTAATAGCTTTGAAAAATTCCCACTTGTTAAGTGATGAATCATCACCTTTTACACACTGTAGAGTGTTGTGTTACTATTATGCCTGCATCATCTTAAATGTGATATATGAATACAGGCACCAAAGAATTTTTAAATAAATATACTACCATATACCAATGCAGATACCAAAATATTTATATTATACTGATTTGATTACTCTGTTAAAAATTCATATGTACTTTAATCTCAGAACAGTTGGTATTTAAAAAACTAATATAAATAACATTATCAGATAATTTATAACTTTCTGTTCCTGTGCGGTAACACTGTAATTGGATATTTAATGACAAAAAATTCTGCAGCATGGTTCTTGACAGGAGATAAGGTTGAAGTTAATCAGCAATGAAATGTATAAGTGCATAGGCTGTTAAGCCATTCATGATTTGTAAAGAATTTCCTGCTAAAACTTTCACTATCTACAATTATCAAAACAACAGTTGAGTTTGATGATAGTTTATTAACGTTTGTGCTGTAAAACATTTGCATCCTATCAACCAGACTATTAGAACCCTATCATAAAATATGGCCAATTACTTGCATATCATAGTATTGACACTTTTTCTATCAGTTTGTAAAAGTAGTCCACGTTATCTAAAAGATTTTTTTTTATTCTGAATAAAGAGTTTATAAGACATGTAACAAGTGATACTTTATATAGCAAATTAAAATTCTTTTTAGTCTTAGGTAATATTACTACCCGTCTGCATTTCTTTGTTGTCTTGATAATTTAAATTGATGTTTCAAAATGTTTTACTTTGTAAAATCATCAATCATACTATGAAAAGTCTTCAGAATTGCAACTGATCAATAGAAAATCAATAAAATAAATCAGATTGGTGGTAGTGTATTATTATTTTAATGTTCACATCTACATATCAACAGAAATATATCATTTACCTGCTTAATCTTTGAAAAAATGAAACCAATAAAAAATCAATGAAATCAATCAAATTTTGAAAAGAAATTAATTTTTGAGTGAGGCCAAAATTGAGGCCAAAAATTTTTACAGAGGCCAAATCTGAGGCCAGGCCAACTTTTGAGGCCAGGCCAAAATTTGGTTTGAAGCCAAATTAGAGGCCAAGATAGAGGCCAGGCCAACTTAGAGGCCAGGCCAGGCCAAAGGGGCCAGGCCAGGTTTTAGAGTATGCCGTTTTCCTTGACGAGTGACAAAGGCGTGTTCCCTATGTACGAGTTTTAATGGGGGAAATCAATACCTACCGTCACTGATTTCTAAATGCGTTCCCAGTCACACAGTAGTATGTGGATGATATGCTGTGTTTTATATCTTAATTTATCGGTCTTAATGAATTACTGCATTATACAGCTGTGTCTGTTCTACAGCTAATCCATCAAACGTAAACAATATTGACAATCCGAGCAGAAGTCACCAGAGCTAAGACCAGTATCTGAGGATCGGCCCTCGCGCTGCAGTAATAGCTAGCAGTCCATTAATCGCATTAGTTGCACATGCACACGCTATATACCAAAAACACACACATTTGGCAACGTACACAGACCATGACATAAGTTTGACATTTTACATGATGAGGATGTCAAATATAACCAGTGTTTTATTCTGTGTGACCTTCCTATCGGCAATATATATAAAACATAGTGTACTACAGAGTCGGAGAGATGAGGCTGGATAGGATGCAGTAAAACTCGATTATAGCGAAGTTCTGGGAACCCGCTACTTCGCTATATATCCGTATTTCGTTTTTTCCATTTTAACGAATTGAATCTCATAGATTCGTTGCACATAGGCGTTTGAACCGGGAGGGGTGGGGGCACTTTTTTCTAAAAAAATAGACATGATATAGGCATTGAAAATTGGTTTTTACATTTTTTGGTTGGTTTAGCCCCCCCCCCCCCCCACTTTCAATTAGCCCCCCTTTCAATTTGCTTCCGACGCCCATGTTGTATATATAGATTTTTTCCCTTCAAGTGTACAAAATGTACAAAAGATAAGATACAAAATGAGATGAGCATCTTTGGCATTTGATCTACAAATGATTTATTGTTTAATGTCCAAGACAAACAGACGAATAGTTGACTGACCACAACTGCGCAGACATCAAACCCTGCACGGATAGGGAAAATGTTATAAACATTAAATTGAAATACCTTGTCAAAAAAAAGTAAAAATAAAGTTTTCGTGATCATTTTTACAGTCTATGATCACGTGTGTGTTGTTTTACATAAATGATAACTAGCTATCGGATAAAAGGAAATAGTAAAATGCAAATGTATTTATTTTACATGCATACTCGTTATTTTGTTTTTTCATAAATTTTAAAATGCTCAGTGGATCAGAAAAAATGTCCATGATCTTGATGCAACAAAATAACATTTTTACAGTATTATAGAATTCCATACCCAATAAATCAACCAAGAGAAAAAATATATGACTAAACTTTTTGTTTTAAATTAATAAATATA